ATATTTGTGCACATCAAGCACACATTATTTTCCACTTAGAGAAATGACAAGTGAGCCCCACCCTGGGGGCTAAGGAAGCGTTTGCTTGTTTCAGAGCAGCAGACCCTGCGCACAGGAGCGTGGGGTGGGGGAGGGTGGGGCAGGCTTGGGCTCAAGCAGGCCGCGTGGGGTGGGAGTCAGCCAGGTGCTGAAGCCCCGCGTCCCCCCGTCCCCGGGTGTCTGTCGAGAGTCTGCCCTGTGCAGGGCCCAGGCCTAGATTCCAGGGACATCGGGGAGAGGAGACCGGGCCCTCGGGGGCGCCAGAGTCCTGGCTAGGGGTGCAGCATGGACTAGGGAAACCAGGCTACAGCTAGTCAGCGAGAAAGGACGCATTTATAGAAGCAGCAGGGAAGGTGCCCGTCCCCGGCCACCCCCTCGCAGCGGGCTCTTGCATGGAAGGAAGTGACACCACAAGGCAGGACATGGAGGTGTCCCCCATCTCCTCCCGCAGACAGCAGGCCCGCGAAGGGCCTTTGGGCAGCCCCGGTATTTGCAGAAGCTCCTCCTCACAAAGCCCTCTCGCCTTTGATAAAGCACCTACTAATCGTTCGGCTGAACCTGACCCCTATGAAACCCTCGGCTTCCCAAACAGCCAAGGGGCTCAGCGTGGAGGAGCCTCCCACCCAGGCCCCGAGGGGGAGGTGCCAAGCGCAGGGGAGACCCAGGGGTGTCTCACAGCCAAGAGTCTTCTGCTTCAGCTTGAGGGGTCCCCAGAAAGACGCCACCAGGGCGGGCTCACCCTGCCACACACGTGCCAGCGGCACTCCTGTCGCCCGGTGCACACCCTTTGGCTCTGGGGGTTCGCCCGCCAGCCGAGCCTCGCTCTCCCTCACTCAGCAGCAGGTCTCCGAGCACCTGCTCGGCCGGGCATGGGGCAGGCGCTGGGGAACCGCGCTGGCTGTGTTTATTGAAGCACTGTGCTTAGATCGCCCCGTTCCAGCACCCTAAAACCCAAGCACCTTAAAACCCGCCACAGGGTCCTTCCCCTGGGCCAGGAGTACAGCCCCCCTGGCCGTGAGGGGTGTGTGGCATCTGGGGAGTGTGTGCTTTGAGGGCTTGGCTTTTGCAGGGTGAGCTCTGGTGGGGGAGGGTGGGACCACATGCGCTGGGCTGACAATGGGCTGGCGGCTGGACGCCCACGGTCCGAGGAATCCAAGGGGGAGCAGAGAGGAATGGTGTGAAGACTCGGTGGGGGTGGCGGCTGCAGGGAGCCCTGTGTCTGCCCACCCCTTGGGGAAGCTGCCTGGGCCAGGCTGGCCGCACTCTGAGAGCGGGAATGCCAGCAGGGCGGCGTCGGGTGGAGAATGGGCAGAGGGAAGGGGCACGCCCGAGGCACGTGTGCTCCCCGTCCAGGCGCGGCGCTCACAGGCGTGATTCTCGGGGCCTCCTAGGCCCTGGGCCTGCGTCAAATTTATGGAACTGTGGGTGTCGCTGCTATAGATGTACCTCCACAGGGAAGGGGTCCTGATGCAAGAAGACACAGGCGTCCTAGGTCACCCCCAAACCTACCCAGAACCATCCCTCTCTCAGAACCCACTTCAGAGCCTTCACAAGGAGAAGGGGCCAGGCTTTCTCTGCACCCCAGTCCCCAACTCTGAAGACCCGCTCTGGTCGCCTGCAGGGCACAGCGGCTCCACCGGGCTGGCAGCTGTCCCAGGCGGGTCCTCTTCCTTCCCTGGTCCCGGTCCCGGGGGCAGAGGGCGGCTGGTAACCAGATGTCCCCCTTTAGGAGGGGGGAGGCCCCAGGCGAAGGCTTTGGGGCCTTCTGCTAAGTATGGCTCTATGGGCCCAGCAGCTGAGGGCACCGAACCTGATTCTGCACGCCCCCCACCCCCGCCCGTCTGTCTCCCTCCTTTCCCGGCCCCTGCCCGTCCGCTCTCTGCCCGCGGTCTCTGCTCCGCTCCGTCTGGTTTCCAGGAAAACTTCCCCAGGAGCCAGGCAGACGTCCCTGGGCCCAGCCTGGCTCCCCAGGACAGTGCCAGTCCTGCCCATAGCTGCAAACGGGCTGGGCAGGGGGGCCAGGTGGGCGGTGGGGGTGTCCCGGTCCAGACCATCCTGCTCTGAGGTCAGCTCTGGAAGGCCGGCACGGCCCGGGCGCGGGGCTTAGCAGGAGGCCCAAGACCGGGAGCCGCTCCCGCCGCCCGCAGCTCGGGCTTCGCTCAGCTGCTCCCAGGACCACGGCCCTAAAGCCGCAGCAGCTCCCTTTCCCGTTGGCACTGCTGGGCCACCCAGGGGTGGGAAGACCAGGGGCGGAGGTCCCCGGCGGCAGCTGCCAGGCTCTCTGGGGGCTCGGGGGGCGAGTGAGCCCACTTTTGCTGCCAGTGGGTAGCTCCAGCTGCCGGGACCCGGCCCAGACCCGCAGAGCCCAGCACCTGGCCTCCTGGGCCGCCCCCGGGGAGTGCGAGGCGGCGGCTGAGCTCCGGGTGCTGGTGCTTCTTCCCCGCTTGCTTTCTGAGTGAGCGGCCGGTTCCCTGGCCCGGGTGAGGGGTCAGCAAGATACGCGGGGTCACGTCCAGGGCGCCGCCTCGGCCACTGGACTTCAGCAGAAGGCAGATTCCAGCAGGTCAAAACAAGAGAAAAATCACCCTCGGCCCACATGGTAGTTACGCCACCAAGACGCGGTGCCCTGGGGGCGGCGCGTCTCCCACCGGAACCTCCCTGGGCTCTGGGGCAGGGAGCGGAATCTGCCGGAAACCCCAGGCCCTCTCCCCGTGGGAACGACAGACCGCGAGGCAGGGCTGGGGACCGAGCTCCGAGCCCCCTATTCCTCCCGCCTGCACAGGCGCCCCGCCCTGCCCCTGGCCCGAGCCGCCGCCTCCCAGCCCCGGAGCAGGGACCCGCACGGGCCGCCCCACAGACGAAACCCAGAGAGCGAGCGCACGTCCACCAAGGCCGCCCCGCGCACGGCTGTATCTAGAAATTCTTTTCATCTTTGTTTTGATGGGTGAAGTTCAATGCCAGCATATTTGGTTTATGAGTCATGCTAATTACAGCTGGGGGAGGGGAGGCAGGAGGCACCGGGACAACAACAGAAAGAAGCGTGTTCTGGAAGCTCCGCCGTGTGCCCTGGCGGGGAGGCTCGGCCCGGGAATGAGGGGGCATCCCCAGGAGGGTGCCCTCGCCGGCCGACCTCTCCTCAGACGGACGAGGGTCAGCTCAGACCACGCGCCCTGGCTGGCCGTCTCCCTGACCTGCTGCCCCGCGGAGTCTCCTGCTGCCCTGGAGCCCCCGGAGGCGGAGGTGGGAGGGAGGCGCAGGCGGCAGGAAAGGCCGGGCCGAGGGTCCCGGGAAGCAGGGCCGCCCCCTTCCCGCCCCGTCGCTTTCTCTGCCGGCTGCTGGGAAGCGGATGTCTGCAAACGCAAGAAGCGGAGCTGTGCCTTCCGGGCCAGGCGCACCATCGCTCCCGGAAAGGAGGGCCGGGCCGGGCTCTGGTGTCCACCTACTGCCGGGCCGCGTGAGCCCGAGCTTTTCAGAGCGACGGCGCCGTGGGTGGACCCGCCTCTAGCATGCGCGGCTCGGCGCCTACGTGCGGGGACACACACGCACACATGCATGCATGCATACAGCCTGGTGGGTGCACACACGTGTACACATAGGGCCTCGCATGCATGCACACACACGAATATGCACGTGCACATGGGTGAGTACACAGGGTACCCACACACGTGAACACAGTACACATTTGTACATGCACACATGTGTGCGTGCACATGGGCACTCGTGCGTGTGCATACACATGTGTGCACACAACACGGACCTCCCACGCACACACACACATGTAGACATGCACGCCCTCCGCGGTGACAGTCAGTGCAGCTGGGCTGCTGCAGGATCCTTAAGCAAACCTCCAGCCCCAGGTCAAGAGGGAGAGTGGGCGAGGGGCGCGGGCCGCCCCTCTGCCCTTCACCTTGCCCCTCTTCCCAGACACGGAGTGGGCCTGGGGAGCTGCACGGGCCACGACGGGCCTCTCCCCCCGCCCCAAGTGCATCTCCGGGGGACCTCGCGTGTGGGACCGGCTGCCTGCTTTGCTGCGCTAAAAAAAGGACCTCGCAGCCTCCCCCAGGGACCCGGGGCTTAGCTAGCGGGTGAGAAAACTCAGTTTCTCAGGACATTTCTCAAGTTCAAAGCCTGGAAGGAGGAAGCCCCATGGGCAGCAAACCGCCTCCACTCCAAGAAACTAGGCGAGCTAGAGCGACAGAGGCAAATCACCCCAGGGGTAGCCTCCCCCACCCCCGCCAGGCAGATCTGGACGGCCCGGAGCTGCTGAGTATGTGGAGAGGCCGCGGGAGCCCTGGGGGCTGCCCAGGATGGCGACGTCGGGTCCCGGCTAATATGTGGGTACCCGGGACAGGTGGGGCTCGCACCTGTCCCTGCAGAGACCCCAGCGAGCTGGGTGGTGGGTGGTGAGTCAGCACCCGCAGGTGAGCCCGGCGACTGGCGCCAGGACTCAGCCACCCGCCTCCCACGGGGACCTGGCAGCGCAGGGGTCCCCGGGGGCACCGGTCCCCCTGTCCTGGCTGGGCTCTCTTCAGGAGCAGCTGCAGGGAGGGTCAGCCTCCCCGTCTGCCCGGGTCCCAGCTGGCCGCAGGTTGGTCCAGCGAGGATTTGGGTGGGGTGGGGGACCCCCACCGGGGGCAGCGGAGGCTTGGATACCATTCCTGCTCCTTCCCTGCCCTCAGAAAAGCCCCAGAGAAGAGTGAAGCCCCCCGAAGGCAAGGGCACCTCCTCCCTGACAGCACCGGTCCGCAGAGCCCCTCCACAGCTGGGGGAGACGGGCACCCCGATCCAGGGCGCTTCCCTCTGTGCCCAGAACTTCTGGGCTCTCTGTCTCTCTCTTGGCCACCACTGCCCCCCTGGCCCCTCTTACTTCGGCCGCCCAGGGAAGGTGTCTGCTCCGGCCACCAGGCTGAGGCCACCAAGACAACCGGGTCCTGCCGGGCGCGTCCCCCGCGGCCACCTACCTCCGGCCGTCGTCCAGGAGCAGGAGCGGGGCGCCCGCGTCCTCCAGCTGCCCCCTAGAGCATCTCCCGGCGCGGAGCCTCCTCCGGGCCAGGTCGGGAAGAGCAGACCGGGAAGGAGGAAGGCCGTCCGGGAAGAAGGGCCGGGGGCAGGGGTGCGGGCAGCAGCCGTCCCTCCCGGCACCTTTATCTCCTTGGCTCCAAGGTCTCTCTGGCCAGAAGCGGAAGCGCGGTTTCTGGAAAGTAAAGGAAGAGACGAAGAAAGCGGGACAGAGGCGTAAAAGCAAACCCCGGCCAGATGTGAGCGCCGAGCCACGAACGCTCCCAGCGCATTTTATCCAAACAGCAGCCTCGGAGGATTAACTGTGTGTGTGCCCGGTGGGAGGGAAGCGGCACTGGCCTCCTGGCCGCCCTGGGAGCCCAGGGGTGGGGAGGGTGGGCACCCCGCACTGCCTGCCGTCTGTTTGGGGGCCTGGGGTCCCGGACGTGGAGGGCTGGGAACCCCGAGTTGCTTGCCGGCAGGACAGTGGACATCAAGGGACTCGAGGTGACCTATAGCCAACCCCAAAGGGTCACGTCTCCTCATGGTTGCAAACCTGAGCTTCACCTTCAGTTAGAGGCCCCACCTGGGGGTCAGGGATGTCAGGCAGGTTTGGGGGAGTCTGTGAACCCCCAGAACAGAATGCAAAATTGTGTGTGTGTGTGTGTGTGTGTGTGCACATGTGCATTACTGGAAGGCTAAGGTCTGAGGCTGGGGCCAGATTTTTAGGGAGTACCCCACCCAAAGGCCAGGACCCCCTGGGGTGCGTCGTTCCAGGGGACAGAGTGAGCAGGGCGGAGCCAGTGAGCCTTGATTTCTCAGCCTCCCTGGGGCCTCTCATGCCTCGATTTTTCGTCTATGTCTTGAAAAACTGGTGCCCTGTCCACCTCACAGGAATGCTCGGGCAGACCCGACCTTTGACCTCACCTGACATCCTGACCTCAGCCCTCAGCTGCTGCGGTCAGCCTGGTCTCTGTCCCCAAGCCCTGAGTCAGAACAGACTGTCCTGGGATTTATCACATCACGAGGAGAGGAAGGTTCTGGCCACAGGAACTAAACTGCCGCCTTAGACTTTCTGTCTTTTTTGCTTCTTCCCAACACACCCGGCCCCTCCTGCCCTGGCCTCCCTGCGGCCGGCCTGCCTCTCCCGCCGACCCGCCCCGACCCGCAGCCGGCCTCTCCCACCTGCACTGGGTTTCGCCTTTGCTCCCGGAGGGCCTCTCTGGCTCCATCAGGACAGGGGGTGTAGAGGCAGGGATTTGGGTGCACCTCACTCTTCGTGCCTCAAGGTTCCCCCCCCGCTGCTCCCCACTGTCTGCCAGGAAGGAGGAGGAATCAGAAAGGGGGGCCACCTGCCTGACCACCGGGCACACCTTTTCCCAGAGATGGAGACGGCGGAGCAGGGGGAGAGGAGGGCCACGTGCCGGGGGCTGCTCACAGCGGCCAGCAGCCAGCCCGCTCTGGGGGCCCGAGGGAGAAGGGCTGGCGCCCGTGGCCTGGGGACAGCGCGGCCGCTGCACGGGGCCGGACACACGCCTCCACGGGAGACGCGGTTTGGGAGGCCTGGGAAGACTCGGAACTGCTCGTGAGCCCGGCATGTGTCCGGGGACTGGCCAAACATTCTTTCCGGTTGCTTATCGACACAGGAAAGCCCAGAGATAAGCCCGTCCTCGTCCTGCGCAAGGAGACGTTCCCGGTCCGCCAGCCCCGCGGGACCCCCAGCTGACCCCCGGGGCTGTCCTCAGACAGCCTCGCTGGCGGGAGGCGGAGCAGCGCCAGCCAGTGGCCACACTCCCCGCAGCCCGGGGGCCTCTGCAGGAGGGCAGAGATGCTGGCCTTTGTCGAAGGCGTGTGGACAGGAAACTCCCTGCATCAACGGGGACTCCTGGTCGCCCCAGTCAGGACACGGAGACCGGGGCTCGGGGTGTGCTGCAGAGCTCAGACACACGGCGCTGCGGCGGGGCTGGAGAGAGGCAGGTGCAGGAGCCGGAGACTCCACCCTCTCACGGCCGGCACCCGAGACGTCCCTGGCATAGCAGGACGCCACATGGTCACCTGCGAGGTAACCCCGAGACAGCCGCAGGCACAGGCCCAAGACCACCTCTTCCTCTGGACGTGCCAATTGGCTGCCCGTCCTCGCTGGGGCTGCCTTGTGACCTCAGGCCTCGGCATCCTCGTCTACAAAGCAGGGAGGGGAGCTCGGACCGGCCCCCGGAGTCCAGTGTCCAGTGTGGGCCGGGTAGGCCACCCCAGGGCCTCACCCCGTGGCCTCCACGCACCTGCCTGCGGAGCCGCTTGATCAGCGAAGGTCCTGGCAGGGCAAGTCACGTTGCCCCGTCCAGTCTGTGCCAGATTTCGGGACAGCTCAGTTTTCAGAGTTTTTGTGTGTCAGGGTTTGGGGGTACAAGTTCTTGTCATTTCTCACGTGGCTGATGAAGGGTTGGGGGCAGAGCAAACGCTAGTGTTGGTTAAAACTCTCGTCATCTTAAGGGCCACCTCCCCGCCTCCTCTGGGGTTGCTCCCCCACGTCTCCCCAGAGACTAGAAGACAGTTACTCATTTTCCTTGAGGCAGAAAACAAGGCGGGGAGACATTGATAGTAAATGTGGCAACAGGAGCCTGGAGTTTCCCAAGAAGCTCGTGTAAGACAAGGCTCAGCGGCGTGGGAAGTTCCGCAGAGATAGGAACCAGGTTCTGGGAACGCTGCTGGCACTGCCATTGCGGCCCACAACCCACGCCAGCCTGCAAAAGGGCACAGAGCCACCTGGCCGGCGCCCGGGGACTCGGCCCTCACCAAGAGCAGTCAAATATGTCACCAAAACACGGAGCTGGCGGCCCCCGTGGGCTTGGTCATCCACTTCATTACGGCTTTCAGATCGTAAGCAGGAGAGATGGGAAATCTGGCCGACCCGACTGGTCACCGGCTGCGCTGCGCCCATGCCCGGCCATCGCCCCCAGGCCAGCTGGCCAGAAGGCTCTCAGCTTAGCAGATCTGTGCTGCCGGACTGTCCAGGCCAGCGCTAGGACAAGAGTCACAGCGGAAACAACATGAACAGAGCAACGCCAAAGCCAGGCAGTGCCTGGGGTTTTCAGCAGCTGTGTGGACGCCCCGGGTCAGGGCCAGACCCTCCTTCTACCCGCCCAGGGCAGCCCGCCCGGATGCCCTGGGAGCTCACAACTCCCACGCAGGGGTGTCTGGCCACACCCTGAGGCTTCCTGCCTATCCTCAGGTGGCTTCTTATTCTCCGAAGCCTGGGCAGACTGCACACGAGGAAGAAGCGCTTCCTGGAACCCCTGCCCCCCAGCGCACGCGTGTCATCTGGGCCTGCACGACCCGCCCACCCCGGCATGTCCCGGCTACTCCCTAGGTCTGTTTTCTCTTCCTTGGGAGCCCCATGTGACCTCGGTTACAGGCTGCGAGACACGAGGCTCCAGAGAAGCACAGCGTGTCATTAGCGGCCCGGGACGGCCCTCCCCGGCCTGGAGGGACCGTTCCTCCTCCAGCAGCTATTTCGGGCCGGGCTGCCCTGTCATCCCAGAAGGGCAGCGGCTGGCATTGCAAACTTCTGAATTCCATTCTGAAGGGTAGCGACAGGCGGGCCCAGATGGTGGCGTCCCACTGCCAAGGGTGGGGGCGGGAGAGATGGGGAGAAGGAGCTGGGATGGAAACTTGGCAGCCAGACCCAGCTCCTGGCCGCGGGCCCATGCTCCTTGCTCCTGGATGGCAGGCTCGAGTTCCGGGTGCTGGGGAGCTGGGGTGGGACTGGGAGCAGCAAGGGCAGGTGGGCTGGTCTGCGAGGCCCAGGAAGCCCCCTTCTTGGGGCAGGGCTTCCTGTGGAAGACGCTCTGCAAAAACGCGCTTCCCAGCCCTCATCAACCCGGCCCTGCCCTTTGCCTCAGTTTCCCGATGCTGAACATTTACGCCCCTGTTGGGGGGATTCCTTTGCAATGCTTACAGTGACAGAGCTAGGCGGAGGCGGGAGGAGAAGGCGCTGTTTTACTAGATAAATAAAATGGGAGGGCCCCCTGGTGGAGGCGCCAGTGTCAACTCTGCAGGGAACACAGAGAGGGAGCATCCCGAGGTGGCCGTCGTGCAGCCCTGAGGATGCAAAGAAGACAGGAGAACGTGAGAGGAAGGGCACCCTAGTCACGTGCCTATGAAGTCGCATTGCAGGGGGAGAGCCTCCCCCGAAAGGCTGCCTTGGCTTACCAGGGTGCCCGCACCCTCTGGCACAGGGCTTCCTCCTAGGATCTATGCTGCAGACACACTCACAGCTGTGCTCGGGTAGTGGGCTCAAGATATGCCCCAAGGTTTGCTGACTGTAAAAAGATCACAGACACCTAGCAGGATCTCACCAGGGGCCAAGAAAATAAAGGAACTTCCGCCCACGGGGCGGGACCCCACCAGCTCTTTAGAGAACAAAGGACTGGAACACGTCTCCGTGACTGTCAGAACAGGAGTCCATGAGGTCTCTCTGAGCGCCCTGCCCGCCGCTGCCCCTGAGCTCAGTGTAGAGACGTGCTGCAGAGGGACAGTGGGCAGGAAGGCAGAGGCCTCTGATGTTAGGTCAAGGCCTTTGAATCCCCACGGGATCTAGACCTATGTGCAGAGGAGGGCAATGCTGGGACTTGATCATTGTCTTGGATTCTAAAAAACGCGGAACTGCAAAGGCTGGGTGCCCACTGTTCAAATCTCACTTGGCTCCAGGAGGTGAAAGGTTGATTTACCCGCAGGCAGCAGACTCCTGCACAGCTGCTTCACAGACAGCATCCTCTGACTTTCAGCCTCTGCAGAGGCTTCGCTCCTGGTCTGCTCGAGCACAGCATGTCCACAACCTCCAAGTCACGCTGCCAAGGGGAAAATCACAGCCTTTTTGAAAACCATTAGAGCAGATCCAGACACTAGCAAGTCAAAGCATCGTCTTAGGCAGAAGGCTCGATATCATAAACATTTCCCAATTGAGCTACAGATTCAAAGCCAAGGAAGGCTTATTGCAAAGAGGTCACAATGAAGACAGCGGGACTGGAGCAGATATGGGAATTACACCCGTGCAACAAGATAGAAGACCCCCAACAGACCCACATGGATAAAGAACTGAATCTATGACAAAATGGTCCTTGCACGCATATCAATGGTTAAGGGGGGGGGTTCTTTCCTCAAAACAGCACTGAGATTTTGGGGCCTCCACAAAAGAAAATATATGACACACAACCTGTCAGTAATCAGGCAGTGAGAAGAAATTCACTGCCACCGTCGTGGTGGATCACAGGACCTCGTAGCTTTATTTCTATAGAAGTAGTAGCTGAGGGCCTCCCTGGTGGTGCAAGGGGTCAAGCACCGCACTACGAAGCAATCTCCAGCTTCTGCAGCATGAGTTCGATCCCCGGCCGGCCAGGGAGCAACCCACATGGCGCAGCAGCCTTCTCCTGACTCGCCTGCTGCTCCCCTCAGCTGTGTATGTCACTCAATCTGCCTGTTCTGCTCCCCACTCCATCTCTGGTGGATCCTCTCACCCCCTGCATCTCTGGCCTGTACCCCGGCTCTTGTATGCACAAATAAATAAATCTTTTTTTAAAAAAAGTAGTAGGTGAAACTGTGGTGTACAGATATGTACTTATGTGCTAAAAGTTTAACACGGGGGAATGATTAACACAACAGGCAAGATTGTGGTCCCCGTTTAGGGTGGGAGCAGGGGATGGGGAGACAGTCCTGGGAACTTTCGAGAGAACAGAACAAATGTCCTACTTCTCGCGCTGGGGTGTGCAAGCATAGATGTCGTAGTAAATAAAGGACTTGACTCTTTTAAAATAATAATGGTGATGTGTGGGTGTGCTTGGGGCCGCCATTAGCATAATGGGAAACAAATGTATTCAAGACGGATTTGTCCCGCTCCAAAAAAAAGCAGAATTGTGTGCTTAGCACATTTCCTTTTGTGTTTTTTTGAGGTAATTTTATATGTGTGTTTATGATTTGTTTGGGAGTCATAAAATATCTCTAAGAATAACCACAAGAAGCCAGAGCTGGTGACCCCGCGGGTCAGGGAGGGCTGCAGGCGCTTGGGGGGCGCTCCTGTCACTGCACCCTCCCTCGGCCTCTGCTCCTCCCCACAGGTTCCTGGGGGGGGGGGGCGCGCGCTGTCGTGCCAGTGCTGAAGGGGCGCCCCCTCGCCAAGCTCTCACGTGCGATGCCCACTGCTAACGGGGGCGTCACTGCAGAACTCGGGGTGAGGGGCAGGGGCGCTGGGGAGGCGGGCTCAGCCAGAGCCCCTCATAAGGGGGCCTCTCCACCGCTGCCCAGGACGCTCCAGCCTGCAGACCTGCGGCCAGAGCTGTGCTTTGCACCCCGACCGACATTCCGATGTGGCCTACTGGAAGTGCCCAGTGGGGGGGTGCGGGGGGGCTCTGAGAGTCGGGGTGGCAGAAAGGCAACCGCCGCCAGGCTCGCAGCTCCAGTAGCCTCAATTCAAGGAATGACACCTCCGCCATCGCTTGCCCGAACGACACCCCAGAATGATGGCGTGGGCAGGACGCCTGCGTGTGGGGGGCGCGCGGGCCAGCGCCCCTCCTTCTCCTGGAGGACTCGCTCGCTGAGCAACAAAAACTACAACTCCCAGGAGCCCCCGCCGCCGCCAACGCGCAGGCGCGGAGCAGAGGCTGCCGGGAGCGCGCGGCCGGGGGCGGGGCGAGGGCGCGCCGGGCGGAAGTCGGCGCCCGCGCGTCCAGGCCCTGCCCGCTGCGAGCCCCGCCGCCCGCTGGCCCCGGAGCCGGCCCCGCACCGGGTGAGTGACGGCCGCGCCCGCCCCTGCCCCCGGGCGCCCAGCCGCTGGCCCGGCGGCGCCCTGCCCTCGCCGGCCGCCTCAGGCCCGCGCGGGGCGCCTCCTCCGGACTCAGGCCGCCCCCCCCGCTGTGGCGGAGACGCCCCGACTCGCGGGACGCGGCTCTTGACTCGGGGACACCGACCCCCACGTACCGGACGCCGCCCCACGTGCCGGACGCCGCCCTCCCATGCACCGGACACCTTCCCCCAGGAACTAGACACCCCCAGCACCCCGGACACCTCCTGGACACCTCCCCCCACGTACTGGACACCTTCCCCCAGGAACTAGACACCCCCAGCACCCTGGACACCTCCCCCCACGTGCCGGACACCGCCCCCCATGAACTAGACACCGCCCCCCCATGCACCGGACACCCCCGACACCCTGGACACCTCCTGGACACCTCCCCCCACGTACTGGACACCTGTCCCCTCCGCACTGCCCGCTGTGTGCGGGTCACCCTCTTCTGCCTTGAGGACATCTCCCCGCACCCTTCCCAGCTTAACCATCCTCTGGCCTCCTCCCCGCCCACCTGGGGGGCTCCCCCTCCTCTGAGACCAGAGGACGCGTTTCCTTCCCAGAGGCTTGTGTGGGACCCTGACCCCTGGGGACAACCCCACCTGCCCCTGCGCTTCAGTGTCCCTCACCCCTGCAGCGCCTCTCCTGGCGCTGGGTCCCCCCTAGGACTGCACTTTGTCAGACCTGCGGCGGGCGGACCCCGCACCCCAGGGCTCCCTTCCCCTGGGCACAGCTCTCTCCCCTCCGTTCCTCTCCGGCGGGCCCCGCCATCCCCAGCCTGGGTCCTCTGGGTCCTCTCTCCCAGGACAGACCCCATGGCCCCCCTTGCGTTTGGTGCCCCTCGGGTGCCTCTGTGTCTGCGGCAGGCACCCAGCACCTGCCACCCCGCTGCGGCCAGAGTCTCTCCCAGACACCTTGGGGCGCCAGGAAACCGGCTTCCCGTAGCACCCAGCTCCGTCTCATCCCCACCTCGCTGTGTGCGTAGACCTTGTCTCGCCTCGTTTAAATGGTGTGGGCCTGGGAGCGCTGTGGGTTCCTCAGTGCGGGCCCAAGCTCGCCGGTCAGGACAGTACAGGCTTCCTCAGGGAGCTGACACCCTCCTCTAGCCCCAGCCCCGCCCCCCAGGCCTCATCCCCACAGCCTGCGGGTGCTGCGGGGCTCCCTCCAGAGCAGCCCCTGCGCCCTCCTGCCTCCTCAGAGAGCCTCTGGCCCCAACGCCTGCTGAAAGGCCCACAGACACAGCATTCCCCCTGTGCACTTGGGGTCCTGGCCGGGCCCAGCATCTTCCCCGAGGGCTCAGGTGAGAAGCAGGGACTCGTGCAGGCAGGGTCATGAGGCTTCCAGGTGGCGGGGGACAGAGATGTCTCTGTCTTCTTACTCCCTTGTCCAAATGAACCTGGCCGCAGAGGCCCCGTCTGGGGTGGAGCCGGCACCCCCCCGCCGGTGTGCGGGGACATGCACGGAGAAGACTCCATTAGCTACAAATCTCCTGTCTTCCTGCAGAGCTCTGCCCCAAAGTCCACTCACGCCGTGCCCCACAGCTCCCACCCCGCAGAAACACATGGCTAAAGGTGCTGGCACTTGAGGGCATGTTTGCCCGTCCGTCTCCCGCGCCTGGTCTGCTTGCTGCCCTGGGCCCCAGCGGGAGGGCCCCGGCCTCACTCCGTCCCCCTTCACCCTGGGCGCTGCCGCAGCTGTATGTGGCGAGGGACGTGCTGGTGTCTGTCAGATGCGGCGGCTCAGCCATGGGGGTGCCGTCCAGAGTCGGGGCCTGCATCGGCGCCCTCCAAAGACACCACGGAGGTGGTGTCTGCGCTGTGTGGACGCCGGTGGGATGGGACCGGCACCCTGAAGAGCGCACGCAGGCGCGGCTTCCCCTGACGTCCTGTTGCCTGGAAATAAGGTCTCCGCCACAGCTGCGGGTATCACACCGCCAAGGCGAGGGTGCGGAGTCTGCGCTGCGAGAGCGGGCCCCACAAACACGAGTCTGGCTTCGTCTGCGCGGGTAGGGACGGGGAGTCAGCCACACGGAGAGTGTAACTGCCCTGAGGCGGGGCCTCGGCTTCTCCGCTGCCCTGACCCGGAGCTCAGCTGGCGCAGGGGGGAGGCCGGGCCGGGCGCTGCTCTCTGCACCCAGACGAGCACCCTGCAGGGAGGCGCTGGCCGGACCGTCGGCGGCAGGCTGAGCCTGAGGAGGTGTCTGTGCTTGCGTGCTCCCCCTCCAGGGCCGGGGCCCCAGAGAACTGCGCGCGTGTTCCGTCTGCTCTGGACGGTGGCGCTCCCCACAGCGTGCTTGTGTGCGGGCGGGCGGACGGGCTCAGGTGGGCGGTCTGCTGCGCCTTCTCACTAGAGCAAGGTGATTAAGTTGCAAAAAAATAATCCTGGTGACAGATCTGTTCTGCAGGCGCTCAGTACCCCCCCTTGTCTCCGTGTCCCCCGAATCCTCCCGTCCTAAGTGCGGCCACAGACGGCACTCCCGGCTCCGGGGGCCATCTGCGCCCAGCGGGCCCGGGCAGTGGGCACGGCGTAAGGGCGGGGGCAGGGCCATGTGCCGGGACCAGCCCTGGCGCGAGTGACGGTGTGGCCGGGTGTCCGGAGGGCGCCCGTCCAGGGGGCTTCTGGGAGTCTCGGGGGAGAGAGCGACCCAGGAGCCCGCACTGAGGAATGCAGGCGCGAGGGTGGGTCCCCTGGGCCAGCCCCTGTCTGGGCCGACGGTGGGAGTGTCCCCAACCTCTCCCGGGCCGCCGGGGACATCGCTGTCCGCCGGGAACGTAACTTTATGGCCCGCCGGCTCAGGTTAAGTCTGGAGTCCCGTGAAGCCCCGCGCGAGGCCCGTCTTCCCTGCCTGCTCCTGTGGTCTGCAGGGCAGCAGCCCGGGTGACCTCGGCCTGGGCCTCGGAACCAGTGAATGTTAGGTCACGGGTGACGGGGGTGCAGGCAGCGAGTGGAATCTGGCTCTGGTCCGTCCACCTGAAGCGAGGGAGGGCGCCCCGGGTTCTCTGGGGACTCAGAGTCATCGCGGCCCTGGGGCGGGGGGCGGGGGACGCAGGAGGGCACGGAGGGCCAGCTCCCGGCTTTCAAGGAGGAGGAAGGAGCCGCAGTCAAGGATGCAGCCTCTGGAAGCAGGACGGTCGGGAGGGGCCCTGACGCCCGGGGGCTCTGTCCCCAGTGCTGAAGGTGCGCCTTCGCCCGCAGCCCCGCGGCCGTCCAGCGGCAGCAGGCCAGACCCACCTAAGGGACCCTGAGCTTCCGGGGGACTGGGGGGGCAGCTGTGAGAGCTGCCTGCGGGCACGGGGCAGGGCGAGGAGGGGTCCAGCGAGGGGCTGGAGCCGGCCCGAAGGACACGTGTGTCCGTCCTTCCTGCCGCCACCTGCCCCGCCCCCGCAGGAACTGGAGTGTAAGCGCAGAGGTGGCCCCAGGGCGGCTTGTGAAGGAGCTGGGCCCGGGGGTGGTGCAGGTCCCTCCCTGGGCTGTCTTGCCACCCCAGGGGTCTATACGGCCAGCGGGCTCAGCTCTCTGCTCCCCCCCCCCCCACATGGTGACCTTGGCTGTGCGCACAGGGCCTCAGGCCTGAGAGCCTGGGCAGGAGAGGAGGGAGGGGCAGCTCCCTGCAGGGGCGGGGCCTGAGGTGAGGGGCCTGGGGGGAGCAGCCTGGCTGCCCCTCCCGCTGCTGGGAGTGGGGCTCCTGCCTCTGCTTCCTGCCCTCCCCAGATCCTGAAAGGGAGGAGTCTGGCTCTGGCAGCTGCCAGTTAAACCTGTTTGCCCTACACTGGCCACGGTCACGCCTGGAGGAAGTGGAGGGCCCTCGGGGCTGCAGGCCCGGCGCCGCTGCCCCTTCTGCTGTTTCTGCTGCCCCCTGGCCCCGAGGGAGCCTGGCCATGGCCACAGAGGTAACCCGGACGTGGGCATCTCCAGGTGTGCAGGGCGGGAGCTGCCTCCCCCTTGGAGCCTGGGAACCCTCCTTGGCTCCCCAGGGGACACCTCGCCATGCCAGGCCTGTGTATGAGGAAATGCTGGTTTCATGGGCACCAGGGTGCGCAGTGCCAGACCCCGTTGGTGACCCCTACCCTGAGGGGTAATTGTTGCCCTGGGTTACGCTCAGCAGGCCCGGGCCCCGTGTGTGGACGGGCCCGGAAGGGGCTGCGGGGCGCTCGGATGCGGGCCGCCCGCCGCCATCTCACCGGCACTGTGTGGGGTGGGGGCAGGGCGGACAGGCTTCTGTCGCGGTTACAGCACATCTTGCAGCCGCGGGGAGCCTGAGGCGGGGCGCCCTCCCCCCCAGCCCGCCGTCCCTCTCCTCTCTCGCTGTCCTGGCCTTGGTCCTGCTGGTGTCCCACTGGCGAGGTTTTTTTTTTTTTTTTTTTTTTAAGATTTATTTATTTATTTATACAAGAACCGGGGTACGGGCCAGATGCGCAGGAGGGTGAGAGGACTCACCAGAGCCAGAGCGGGGAGCAGAGCAGGCAGAAGGACCGAAGGACACTGCTGAGGGGAGCAGCGGGCGAGACAGGAGGGGCCTGCTGTGCCATGTGGGACCCTCGCTGGCCGGCCAGGATCGAACCCGCGCTGCAGAGGCTGCGGGCAGCTTCACAGAGTGGCGCTCAACCACCTCACCACCAGGGCGGCCCCCCCTTTTCTTTTTTTTAATAAAAATGCAAGCCCTGGGCCTCCCTGATGGCGCTGCGAGTTGAGCACAGCGCTGTGAAGCTGCCCGCAGCCTCTGCAGTGCGGGTTCGATCCCGGCTGGCCCGTGAGGGCCCCACATGGCGCGGCAGACCCCTCCTGTCTTCCTCTCGCGGCTCTGCTCAGCAGTGCTTGCGGTCCATCTGCCTGTTCCGCTCCCCGCTCTGTCTCTGGTGAAGCCTCTCACCCTCCCGGTTCTTGTATAAATAAAAAATATAACTTAAAATAATGCGAGCCATGGCCTTCTGGGGGGCGGGGGGATCGGGGGGGAGCCCCAAAAGGCTAGAACTCATCTGCGAGGATGAAGGGATTCCTTGGGATACTGGGAGGCTGAAGGCCAAGATCGGGTTTTGCCCCAGAGGGAAATTACTTCTGGTGGTGAAGCGGACAGAATTTTCTGGAAGGCGACAGAGTCCTCCGTCCTCTCCCCTGACAGAGGGGCTGAGCCTCTGGCCTGCCCCTCAGGTAGACCTTGGGGGCTCTCCTGCCAAAGCAGAGCACAGAGCCCCTTCCCTCCGGAGCTGAGCGGGGCCCAGACCCCGCCCCAGGGAGGGCTCAGCAGCCAGGGGCTGCCTCGGGGGCAGCAGGTCACCACGGACATGGTGGCTGTGAGCAGCACATGTGTTTTCTCGCAATCCCACGTCGGCATCACAGGGCTGACATCAGGGCGTCGCAGGCCGTGCCCCCGTCCAGGGCAGGAAGGGAGCAGCGCCTCACTCCACCCCTGCCTCTGTGCCCGCCTGATCCTCTGTCTTGCCAGATCCCCTCCACCTCCCTCTTGAAGGTCACCCGGGTGCGCTTAGGGTCCTCGCCCCTCTCAGGAGCCTGACCGCGTCACACCTGCAGATCGGGGGCGCCTAGAGCAGCCCCGGGATCAGGCCTCAAAGCCGGGATCAGGCCTCAAAGCCGGAGGGGCCGGTGTCGCCCCCGGAGAAGCGCCTGGATGCAGGGCGGGGAGGGGAAGGGTGACTTTCCTCCTCGGCGACGTCTGCTGTTCAGGCCGCCGAGACTGCCCCGTGCAGGAAGCACCAGGCACGGGGCTGGCGCTGGGCGTGGGCTCCTATGTGACCAGCCCTGCGGGGCCAAAGGCCGCGGGGACCGCTCCCCCGTTCCGGAAGGCGCCGGCTGCCCCGGAGTTTTCGTCCAGATTCACTTTTTAGAGAAAGCGCTTTCTTTTGACAGGTTCGGGACTGGGGACCTGCACCCCTGTGTGTAGAGGGACAGGACGGGGCTTGCAGCTTCTTGGGGTCCCTGGCTCTGCCGCCCAGCTCAGTCCGTGGGAGTGGCCGGGGCCGGCCAGCAGGTGGTGGGAGGGCGGGAGCCGTGCCACAGCCCCAGCCTCCTACCCAGCTGGCACCGCAACTCCGGAGACGCCCACCGCACCCCGGCCTGCACGGCAGGAGCGCCTGGGGTACGCGGTGCCTGGGCCATCGGGAGGCCGTGGAGAGACGGGGCGGAGCCCTGGAGGGGACGGGAGCCCAGAGCTGGACTTTGGACCCTGAGGGGCCTGATGCCTGGGGGTGGGGGGAGACAGTCCAGACGACCCATGAGCGCAGGCTGCCCGCAGCAGGGGAGGGGAGCGGTGCTGGCCGGAGCGCGGGCTTCGGGCAGGACGGCGTGGCCACCCCCGCTGCAGGGCTCTGCACCGCGCCAGGCATCGCTGACGCTGACGACAGTCGCCACGGACGCCAAGGACGGGGCCGCGGGGCTGGGTGCGGCGGGCACAGCCGTCCGGGAGGGCTTCTCCGGTGAAGTGGCGTTTGTTCACGGTGGCCTCCTGGGTACGTCCTGGGCCCCTGAACCTTCGCGGCGCTGCCGTGAGTGCACTCACCTTAACTGCTCTCCGAGGCGACCTCCGGGGACAGGGTGGCCGCCCCGCCCCGGGGTTTCCTCTCCCAGACTGCAGCGCGCCGGCCTCCTCTGCCCACTGCGCTTTCTGTCCTGCAGCTGGGGCCGAGGCGAGGACGTCGTTGTGCCTGGAAAAGGCTTCGTCTCGCCGCGTGAGAGTAAACAGAGGCGCTCAGGACAGTGGCTTCGCTGGTCCCGAGCGCCGGCTGCCAGGCAGCCTCGCCCGGGCACTGAGGCCGGCCCAGGCCGCTGCTGCCCCGCCGCTGACCTCTCTCCTGTCCCCTGCCCGGCACAGGTCCCGCCTGCCCTCCAGGCTGATGCCCATCCAGCCCCCCGACCACCCGGCATGGAGTGAGTCTATGCACCCCCTCCGGATAAGCGTGGGGAGCCTCCCGGTGCTGGCGTCCATGACCAAGGCTGCGGACCCCCGCTTCCGCCCCCGCTGGAAGGTCATCCTGCCGTCTTTCGTGGGCGCCACCGTCCTCTGGCTGCTGTACTCCCACCGCCCGCCCCCGGGCAGGCCCCCCGTGCCCAATGCCCACCGCTGGGGGCCCGGCCAGGCGGCCGAGGACCGGTACAACGACACCTACCCGCTGTCCGCCCCCCAGAGGACGCCGGGCGGGACGCGGTACCGCATCGCGGTCATCGCCGACCTGGACACGGAGTCGAGGGCCCCGGGGGAGCACACCTGGTTCAGTTACCTGAAGAAGGGCTACCTGACCCTGTCGGACAGCGGGGACAAGGTGTCGGTGGAGTGGGACCAGGGCCACGGGGTCCTGGAGTCCCACCTGGCGGAGAAGGGGCGGGGCATGGAGCTGTCTGACCTGGTGGTCTTCAACGGCAAGCTCTACTCCGCGGACGACCGCACCGGCGTGGTCTACCGCATCGACGGCACCAAGGCCGTGCCCTGGGTCATTCTCTCCGACGGCGACGGCACTGTGGGGAAAGGTAAGTGGGCGCGCTGCCGTCTGCTGGGGTGGCACGCCCGGCCGCGAGCGTTGCCCGGGCCTCTGCAGCTGCCCCGCGGGCTCCGCGCCGTAGAGGCGAGCGCGCCCTCCTGTGTCCTGCGCTCGTCGGGAGGCTGTGCCTGGAAAGCCTGGCGGCAGGTGGTTCTCGCTTGGAAGGTGCCCGCGCTGCCTCCCCGAAGGCCAGCAGCAGAGGGCCTGTGAGGGCGGCGCCCCTGCTCCGGTGGCGGCCGACCGGGGAAGTCGCCGGGACCGCTGCTGTGTCCTTTGCTGTCAGCGGGCAGGGGTGGCTTCTGGGGGTCATCCGAGGGATGTGCCCCGGGCTGGAGCTGCACCTCCCAGGGAGCTGTCCCCCTCCAGGCCCCTACCCCGGCCAGGGAGGGCTGCATTCAGTCACCGCGCGGCCCGGCTGTCCCCCGCGGCTGAGGGGGTGGGGGTGCCGGAGCGGGCGGCTTTCCCTCAGGACACGTGCAACCCCTTGGAGAGGGGAGTGGGGGGTGCCCTGCGGTCGGGCCCCCAGAGCTGCCTGCGGGGGTGGGCAGCTGCAGCTTGGGGCTGCCGGAGCTGGTGAGACATCTGGGAGAGCCAGCCCCGCCGAGAACACGGGCGCCGGCGCAGGTGAGGCGAGCTGGGAGAGCAGACCCCACACGCCTGCCGTGGCAGCGCCACCGAATGCACCCGAGGAGACGCGCCTTGATCCGCGCGAAAGCCCAGCCCTGGCAGAGCCCCAGTCGGCGCCGCCGCGGCCGGTGACTCCCCGCTCCGGCCGCGGGGCAGCGTGGGTTCTGCTGTGACGGGCCCAACAGGTGCCGCCGCTCTCCTGGATTTGGGGTCACCTTGAAGGTGGAGCTTGCAGTTTGGGACGTGGGCGTTCGGGGGTCAGAGAAGCGTTACGGCTGCTGCTGGGCCTGGGAGATGCGCGAGGGGCCGGGGCGGTGGAAGCGGTTTATATCGGTTTTAACAAAGTGTCCCCACAGCGTCCTGGGTCTGGCCCCGCAGGACAGTGTGATGGTCCCCTGTGTGGGGGGGAGGCGGAGAGGGAGGAGGGAGCTGGGCAGTGTGAGTGGGGTTGGGCAAAGACAGCGGCCACACCCTCGGGACGGGGCCGGCCCGCCCTGGGCACACGGCGGCCGGGGAGTCCAGCACAGCGGCCCGACGGCCCAGGCGCTGGGCCCAGCAGAGGGCTGCCGTCTCAGGTGCCCGTCCCGTCCCAGGCTTCAAGGCGGAGTGGCTGGCCGTGAAGGACGAGCGCCTGTACGTGGGCGGCCTGGGCAAGGAGTGGACCACCGCCACGGGGGAGGTGGTGAACGAGAACCCCGAGTGGGTGAAGGTGGTGGACTTCCGGGGCAGCGTGGACCACGAGAGCTGGGTGCCCCAGTACAACGCCCTGCGGGCCGCCGCGGGCATCCAGCCACCAGGTAAGCGGCCAGCCGCCCGTGGGCACCCGGGCACCGCAGGGTGGTGTCTTGCTGGACGTGGGGTCTGGCTGTCTCCTGGCTGCTGCTGTGGCCGGGGCCCCTGGGGACGGACGAGTGCGTCCCCGAGTGCTCGCTCGCCCTGCCTGGGGGCCCCCACCAGACGCACAGGGCCCCTCGCTGTCCCCGGGAGGGCTCTCGCCCGATGCCAGGGCCCAGATGTGGGCCTGGCTGGGGCACCTGACTCTAGGGATGTCGGTTTGCCCCCAGGTGGGCTCTGTGCCCGCTCGTATGTGAAAGGCGCTGGCTTTTCCCCACCCTGCCCCAGCCAGCGTCTGGGACGGGACTCAGCTGGGGCTTCCCCGCCGCGCAGCAGGGAGGGCCACCCCGTTCCTCCGGGTCTTTGAGAGCCGAGCTCTGAGCAGACTCTGCTGGGAACCCCGAGGGCCATGGAAAAGGAGCAGGCCGCGGGGCCGCCCCGCCTGCAGGGCAGACGGTCCTGCACCTGGCCCTGACCTGCCCGCGGCCGATCCCCAGGCTACCTCATCCACGAGTCGGCCTGCTGGAGCGACACGCTGCAGCGCTGGTTCTTCCTGCCGCGCCGCGCCAGCCGGGAGCGCTACAGCGAGCGCGAGGACGAGCGCCGGGGCGCCAACCTGCTGCTGAGCGCCTCACCCGACTTCAGCCACGTGGCCGTCAGCCGCGTCGGGGAGGTGGTCCCCACGCACGGCTTCTCCTCCTTCAAGTTCATCCCCAACACCGACGACCAGATCATCGTGGCCCTCAAGTCCGAGGAGGACGCCGGCCGCGCGGCCACCTACATCATGGCCTTCACGCTGGACGGCCGCCTCCTGCTGCCCGAGACCCGCGTCGGGAGCGTCAAGTACGAGGGCATAGAGTTCATCTGAGCCGCGCCGGGCCGGGCTGCAGGCGGCCGGTCTCCCAGCCCCAGAGCCCCGGGCGCCTCCGTGGGTCTTTTGCTGTGATTTTTCCCCTTTGCGGAACGCTGCGGCCTGGGCCTGGTCCGGGCCCCAGGGCAGAGAGGTGGCTGCGCCCGGGGACGGCGGGTGCCCCGCCGGCTGGCCCCGCGCCGCCCTCTGGTGGTGGCGGCTGAGCCCCGCGGCCGGCCCCTGCCCCCGGCCCTTCCTGCGCGGTTGTTCCTCTGTTCAATAAATTCTCCTTGAGCACCGCGGGGTGTCGCGTGGGGACACAGCCTTCCGCAGGAGCTCCCGGCCGCCCCTCTTCCTTCCTCTGCAACCTCAGCAGCAAGTCCACCCCTCCTGCTGCCCTGCTCGGCCCTGAGGGGCTGCGGCTCGCCCCGGCCTCCCGGACAACCTCAGCGTCTCCCTGCGGGAAAGCCTGGTGGCCGCATAGCACTTTGAAGCTTTAATTATGAACTGATAGTAATTAAAGCAATTTTATTTCTTATAACACGGAATCGCCAGATCTTCTCACACTCGGCAAAGCCCCTATTGTCACACACTTTCCCGGCAGTGCAGGAACCGGTGGTCTGGCCATTCCAGCGGGTGGGGCCGGCGTGTGAGCATTTCTGGATCCAGGGCCAAAGGGCACGAGATGAACCGCCCCCTTCCCCGGCAGCCCCGAGGCCGCCACGCCTTACGGGTTTCCAGGAACGACTCGCTCAAGTAGCAGCCCCAGCCCTGGCCCCAGCAGCGGGGTCCTGTGCTCTGGGCGCCCACGTTCCTCTCCGAGCCGTCACTCTCCCCTTCCCCGGGCAGTTGTGTCACGGCAGAGGGCGGGGCGAGGTCAGCCGCGACCACGCCGAGAAGGGCCATCGCCATCCGGCCCCAGGAGCTACCTCAACCCCGGAGGCTGGCGGGGCGCGGCCGGGCCCGGGAAGGGCTGTCTTCCCGCCTTGACTGTTCCAGTGCTGACCCCCCGTGGAAACCTCCGTGCAGCCACTAGGAGGGGAGCCAGAGAGGCCCCCTTCCTGGCACTGCTTGTCTGTTTCTTCCACCAAAAACAAATAGCAGAAGAACAGAAAACAAGTCACTGCTGGGTGTTTCTCCAGACTTGGCTCCTTCTGGCCTGGCCAGAGCCCCGAGCCCCTCCCTGGCCAGGCACGTGAGGTCGGGCTGTGTACAGGGCAGGGTCGGCGCTGGGGGGACAGTGTTTTTCAAACAATCAGCGACTCTCAGAGGTTTTACAGCCCGCCCAGTCTGCTGTGATGTGATTGTTTTTCTTCCTACCAGAGCCATTGTTTTGTAAACAATAAAGTGCCACAGGGACTGAGTTGTCTGTCTCGTGGTGTGTGTTGGCTGCTCACCAAGGAAGGGCCAGTGGCAGGGCTGGAGAGGGGGCATGTGATTCATACTTGCTCCTGGAAAGGGGTGGGTGCCGGCCAGCAGCCCATAAGTTCTTGGCCTAGGGCACCCGAGGGGCTGTGCGAGGTCATGGGGTGGGGGCACGACCCCTGGCAGGACTGGGACGTCTGCAGGCGCTGAGTTGGCCCCGGTGCGTGAGAGTACTGGCCCGGGGGCTCCAGGCCAGCCTCCCGCTGTCCCTTGTGCGCCCGGGTAGATGGTGGAACCCCGTCGCTGCGTGTCCTGTCCGTGGAAGGAAGGCCCCACGAGCCGCTTCTGGCACGCCTGTGGACGGAGAGCGAATTCCCACACGAGGGCTTGGTTAGCGCTTACCCATCTGTGGCTGTTGCTCTTCCAAGTGGAGTGATCTGGAAGGTTCGGTAATGGGGTGGAGCCCAGGAGAGAGAGCCAGACTGAGCTGGGCGTCTCCTGAATTTGCAGCAGCGAGTGAGGTCACACCGAAGGATCTTACAGCCCCAGTGCCCAGGGAGGGGCTCAGACCCGGGAAGGGGTGGGGCTGGAAAGGAAAGAGCCCTAAACTACAGATGGCGGGGAGCCCAGCCATGGGGGGCCAGAGGCCAGGTTCGCCTCCTCTTCCTTTCGTCCCTTCACACCCACCCTCCATGCCTGTTCACCCCAGGGGCCCACCCGCCTAACTTCATCAATACCCCTGGGGACTCTGGGGTCAGGCCCTGACTGGCAGAGGGAGGAAGAAGGGCTGGGAGTCCCCAGTTCCCTCGGTGGTGTCCCCACCACTGGCTCTGGCTCTGTCCCTGGGGGGGTTCCAGTTTCTGCTGCTGCTCTGCCCCTTCTGGCCTGGGAGTGGTCAGAGGTCCAGGTACTATACCCTCGCCCACTCCTGCTCACTCCACCCTGGACATGGCCCCTTTTTTATGGCCTCCCTAACCACCCTGATTTGGGGCCATCTGTTTGCTGCTGGGAATCTGACCAGTACAGCCAGGGAGGAGAGTCAGCATCCAGCATTGAGAGAGGACAGCGAGGTCTGGAGGGTGCTCTGAGCACTGAGGAGGAGTCTTGCAAGCACAGTCCCTGGAGGCCAGTGAGGAGGAACCGCTAACAGCACGAGGAGTGGAGGTCAGTTCTCGACATCTCTGTGAGGAGCTGGACACGCCGGACCACGAGAGCCTAACTCGTGCCGCTGGGCATGCTCGTGTGTCAGCACACGGTTTGTCAGCAAGATGAGAATGCCCCAGAGTCCTCTCAAGTTGGGTGGGAAAGTGAGATCAGTTTCTGTCCAAGTGGTAATTCTGTCTTCTTGTGCACTTTATCCTGGTGACTGTTAAGGTGCATTATTATACCTTGATATGATTGTTGAAAGACTCAATCAGGCAAAAGTGAGGGGCCTCCCTGGTGGCGCAAGGGGTTAAGCAGCAGCACTATGAAGCTATACGCACCCACTGCGGCATGAGTTCAATCCCTGGCCAGGGAGCTACCCACAGGATGCAGCAGACCTCTCCTGTCTCCCTGCTGCTCCCCTCAGCAGTGGATTTCAGTCAATATGCTTGTTCTGTTCTCCACTCTGGTGAATCTTCTTACCCCCGCACCTGTGGCCTGCACCCCGGCTCTTGTATGCATAGATAAAATCACTCTTAAAAAGCACACGTGAAGTTCCATCACACCGAAAAGCAGGCCTGGGTAACTTAACCAGACATTTCAGGAAGAAACACCAAACCAACACAAAGTCTCCCGTGAGCTAGGGGTTTGGGAGCACGTCCCAACTCATGTTACGAGGGAACCACTGTCCTGGAACAAAAACCAGACAAATATATAACAAGCAAAGACAAATCCTGGCCAGTGTCCGTCACGAACAGGGATGCAACAATCCTTAGCAAAAATTCAGCACATTGGATCCTTATTGAGAAGATGAAAACACCTCATGGGGAAGTGTGGAATGCAAGGTTGGTTTGGTGTCACAACATCAGTGTCATGCATCACAGGAACAGAGCAAAATGAAGCATCCTGATGCTCTCAACAGATACAAAGAAAACGTATGAAAAATCTAACCTCCATTCGTGATTTAAAAGAAAACAAACTTTTAGCAAACTAGTAATGGAAGGAGCTTCTTTAAAGCAATAAAGGGCCTCTGGCAAACCCACAGTCAATGTCCCCTTCCAGGTGGGGGACAGTATTTCCTCGCGTCTGCTTCACCACATTTGTCCCCGGCACATTATGTAATTTTGGAACCATTTTCCACCACACAGAAGCTCAAAAGTGGCATTTCTGTCCCCTCACACTGCTTTGTCCCGTGCTGGTAGCCATCACCCAGTCACCAAGTGTGCGAGACCAGGCAGTGGCCACCCCTTTGTTGACCATCCTGTGCAACTAGACAAGAAAAGTCATTTCCTGTCAGAAAGGGTCATAAAGCTGCCTTTATGTGTCAGTCACAAGTAAGAAGAAAGGGCTGAGGAATCTTCCCAAAGGAACTGCTAGAAGAATCGAGGTTAGCAAAGCTGAAGGAGACGAGGCTCACGTGCAAAAGCAGTTTCATCTTTGGTAGCTGCAGTGAGCATTTGGAAAAGGAATAAAAAAAAAAAAGTGCCATTTTAGCAACACTGTGGTTTGGGGGCAGAATGCTCAGTAACAAAATACGTGCAAGATGTGTGTGCTCGCAGCACAAAAAACAAATGGAAAAAACAAAGACACAAGTCAGAGGAGCAACACACTGTCTTCACGGATGGAAAAACTCAATTTTGAGAAAGAAAAACAAAACTGAACTCATATGAACTTCAAGACTTAGCGTAAGGCTTTATGTAATCAGAACTGTGGTACTGGCATAAAAAAGACGTAACAATCCACAGAGCGGAAGAGGGTCTTACAAGAGACCCGTGTGCGTGTGGTCAGTTGATTCTTGACAAAGGGGTTAGGGTGACTCCGTGGGGAAAAAGATTCTCTTCCCCTTAGTGGCGGGGGGACAGCTGTTCTACATGGACGTAAGCGATCGCCACCCTTGTCCCGACCGTGTCCAGAGCCCGCTCGTCGGTCATAGCTGCCATGGCAGAACTTGCAGAAGACAGGAGAAAGGCTCTGTGACCTTGGGTGTGACCTTGGTGAGGCAAAGATGTCTCAGATAGGACACGAAAATAGTCATGAATTGATCTTCATCCAAATTCAAAAACCTTGCTCTTCAGAACACACTGCCAAGGAAAGGCAAGGTTCATCCCTCCCCCCAAAACACCTACAGATCATGGATCCGCTTAAGCCCTTGGATCAAGAGCTTAGAACATGTACCGCTCAGGAGTGAGACGGCCCAATTTAAAGCGCACAGGTGATCCTAACAGACACCTCACCGAGAGGATGAGCCGGCGGGGGCCCAGGAGAGGCGCCCAGCACGCCCGCGGGGGTGACAGAACCCGGAGATCCCCAAACCACGTTCCGCCGGGGCTTGCACTGCGGGAACACCGCCAAAGTGGCCCGTAGGAATGCAGGGGGCCAGCCACGGCTTCTGGCAGGTCTGCCCGCCCAGGGCCCCAGCCGCCCCTCCCCCGGGCGCGCACGGAGCCGGCGCCAGGCCTTTGGCGGGGGCCCCCACGCGCACAGGCGTCAGCGAGCTGTGGTCTCCCCTCTGAAGCACTCGGCACAAGGACGGGTTGCTCAGCTGCGGTCGCTGGAACGGCTCTCGGGGACCGTCAGCAGCGTAGCCAGACACCCCAACGGCGGGCATCTGTCTGCCTCTGGGAAGCCGGGGTGCGGGCGCTGGTGTGAGCCGAGCTGGGCTCAGCTGTGTCCCGGGCAGGCTGCACCTCTGCACCTCCGCTTTCTCAGCCAGAAAATGGGCCCCTCAGAACAGCTACTTCCCTAGCGGATGGGGGCGTTCACGGTGGGTTCCCGGTCAGGGTTGCCCCGGTGCCCCTCCGCGGGTCGGCTGCTGTGGGCCCTGTGCTGGGCAGGGAGGGGCGGACGCGGAGGCGCGTCCCCCCAGCAGCCGCGGTTCCGCCTCGCAGCCCCCAGGCTCTGCGCCTGAGTCCAGCCGCAGCTCCGCGGCCTGTTCACTGTCTCTGGGGCCCCGTCGGCGCCTCCAGGCCTCTCTGGACTCCTTCCTTATCGAGCCGCGCCCCTACCAGGGCGACCTCTGTCCACTTCCCCTCTGGGGCGCTGAGGCTGCGAAGGCCCTGGGCGCCCTGAGCAGACGCCCCGCTTACTTTATAAGCTCTTGGTGGGTCTCCAAGGACTTTCTGGGACCCTGGGGTCCAAGGTCCAGCATCTCCACCAGCACCCCCTCCCCTGCAGCCCTGCCCTCCTCTCGGTGGGCCGAGACCCGCGGAAGCGGCCGGAGCCTGTGCCGGCCAGCCCTGGGCTCCTGACCCGGTGGGCCTGAAGACTCCCACGGCCCCCTTCGCCAGTTCTGGTTCCCGCCGCATCCCCCCTGGATCTGAGTCTCCTGGGAGTGGCACAGGCCCAGCCCCAGCCCTTCCGGGAGCCTTGAGCTCTTCCTCCACCCCAGGGCCAGCCCTCAGGCACCCCCAGCAGTGGGGGCTCAAACATGGCTAAGCCCTGGCCATCTGGTCAGCCAGACTGCCGCCTCGGGCCTCTGCCGGCCTGGACACCCACAGCCCGACCAGGGAGAGGGCCTGGGGCCTAATCAGCAGCCAATCGCAGAGGCAGCCCAGGTCAGGTGGTTTCTGAAAATCGAAACTTTGCTTTGGTTTTCTGAAGCATTTCCTGATTCGCTCTCTACCCTGCGGCTAGTGTGGGGTGGAAGTCGCTCCAGGGGTGCCCACAGCAGGCAGGGGTACAGGGCTGCTCGGAATTTGCCTCAGGCAGGTAAGCCTTGGGCAGGTAAGCCCAGGCTCCCTCACCCTTGGGGCGGGGTCTGCCTGTGCACGCGACCTGGCCCAGGCCCGCCGGGACAGCCGGGCAGGTTGTTGACTGCACAAGGAGCTCAGCCCGCGTCCTCTCGCCCATCTCCGTGCGGGCTCTGGCCGGCCCACCCGGGGGCCGCCTGGGGACGGGAGGGCAGCCCCGGCCCCTCTCCCCGCATGCGGCGACGCCAGGGCCCCGAGTCCTGCCCCGGGGAGAGCAGGCCTGGCTGGCCGAGGCGCTCTGGGGCGCAGAGGGCAGACGGCCACCGCGTGGGGGGCAGCGTCGGGGGCACCGTGGGACGAAGGAGACAAAGTCCAGGGAAAGAGCGGCCGAGTCTATGCCACCAGCAGCCTCGGGTTTGTCAGGACAGCGGTGGGCGAGCCCTGGAGGGCGGGGGCGGGGGGCGTGCTCACGGGGATGGGGCTGTTGCCTGGGGGGCTCCGCTGTTCCCCCACTCGAAGCACATGAGCTCATCCTGACATCTGCCCGCTGTTGGCAGCAGACACCGGCTTCCCGTGTGTCCCTGGACCCAGGACTCACCCCCAGTGAGAGGCGCCTGCCTGGCCCGACACCTGGCTGGTGGGCAGGAGCTCTGGGCTCCGAGACAGTAGCCTCGAGGCCAGGGAGGGCTGGGGTCCCGCATCTCCCCCTTCCTTGTTATTTAAGCTGGGACTCTGGGCGCGAGTCGTGCAGACAGAGCGGCTGGAGTTGGGAGCGTCGCAGGAAGGGGCAGTGTGGAGGGTTCCCTGGGCCAGGCGGCACCGGGCGTGGAGACCCTGGTTCTCTCCAGCCCCAGCTTGAGGGATGTTGTGGCCTCCGCTGTCCAGATGTCCCGAGGTCATGGCCGCAGAGACTGTGAACCGCGACGCGTCTGCAGGAAGGCGAGACGGGAAGGGCAGGCGCGGCCTCGCGCGAGCAGACGCCACCCCGCCTAGGCTGACCTCCACCAGCCAGCACAGTCGGCCGTAGGTCCAGGGAACTGGAGCTAGGAAAGGGGTGGCGCCCATGTCAACCGAAAGGGAGGCCCCACTTCTCTCCTTCTTGTTGGCCTGACTGGTCTCCGCCCTGACCTTGCAGACCTTGAAGGCCCCGTCCAGAGAGGGACCCCATGGTCCCTGCTGCTGTGACCAGGGCTTCGAGAGAGACGCCCCACGGAGGTCAGCATTAGGAGCTGCCCATCCGAACATTCGGTTTTTAAGTCTTACGTGTTGTGACACCCCCACCAACCCCACATCAGCGGAGAAGGTGTGCCCAGCCCCGGGACGGCGCTCCCCACGGAGCCTGAGCACGCCCAGGTCGGGCCCGTTTGTTTAGGGCCTGGCATGAGGGAAGCAGTCGCAGGGCTAACAGGCTCACAGATCTCTAGAAAGGACTTGGTCGCCTGGCACGAAAAGGGGTTTGAATACAGCTTAATTTCTTTGACTTGCTCAGTATTGCTGACAAGATTAGGTTTCTTAGTTAGCCAAGACCGGGAGTAAAAACAAAGCAGTCTTTGCTACCAAAATTAGTAAAGACTAAAACCCAAACTTAAACACTCTTGAAACCAATTTAAACTCTTTCAGCCAATGCAATGACCACACAAAATTTTTCCTAATATGCCCCGCCCAGACCATTAACACGTCCCCTTGCTTTCCCAGCTCTTAAATCCTGCACAAGACCCTCAGAACATCCATCCCCAGGACACTTCTCCCTTGCTAAGCCCACATCTCGCTTTGCTTGCATGCAGCGGTGACACCCTGCTTTTCTGATTTCTAGATTATAAGACATTGTAACAGCTGCTTTGCCATCACCCCTTTAGACACCTTCCACATAAACACAAGTTTCGCTTTTCTCTTAGGTGAGATGACATTAAAACTTAAATTTCCTTACAGTCAGCCAAAGGTAAACCTGAAAGTTCAGTAATTTTAGAGAAAGTGACATAAAATAGTCAACATATTTTCATTATCATATTTAGTAAAACCTTAGTTTTGTAAGAGATCTGGCCACCAATTAAATAATGGTGAAAAGAGCACATTTAAGATGGAGATACCAGGCCTCCCTGGTGGTGCAAGGGGTTAAGCACTGCACTGTGAAGCTATCCGCAGCCTCTGCAGCAGCACGAGTTCGATGCCCGGCCAGGGAGCTACCCACATGGCGCAGCAGACATCTCTTACCTCGCCCGCTGCTCCCCTCAGCAGTGGATTTCAGTCAGTCTGCCTGTTCTGCTCCCCGCTCTGTCCCTGGTGAATCCTCTTACCTCTGCTCCTCTGGCCTGTTTCCCAGTTCTTGTGTGCATAAATAAATAAATCTTTAAAAAAAAAAAATGGAGGGCCTCCCCGGTGGCGCAGCGGTTGAGCGCTGGGTTGCGAAGCTGCCCGCAGCCTCTGCAGCGCCGGTTCGATCCCCGGCTGCTCCCCGGCCACCGGCGGAGGGTCCCACATGGCGTGCAGACCTCTCCTGCCGCCCGCTGCTCCCCTCAGCAGTGTCCTTCGGTCCTTCTGCCTGCTCTGCTCCCCGCTCTGGCTCTGGTGAACTCTCTCACCCTCCCGCGCTTCTGACTGTACCCAGTGCTTGGATAAATAAATAAATAAATATTTAAAAAAAAAAAAAATGGAGATACCAATTAGAGCTTTAGTTTTAGGACCGGAATTTTAAATTAATTGCAGAGTTGCAAATGTAGCAATCCCTTATATCAAGTGTCTTCTTAGGCAAGCAGTAGGTAGATTGATAAAAGCAAGAGGAGTCAGAGAGACTCAATATCGTATACATTTCCTGTACACAGGTAAGAGTCTTAGTGACCTGTCCATGTGGCTTTTTTTTTTTTTTAAGACTTGTTTATTTATGCACACAAGAGCTGGGGTACAGGCCAGAAGTGCAGGGGTGAGAGATCTCACCAGAGACAGAGCGGGGAGCAGAACAGGTGGATCCACTGAAACCCACTGCTGAGGGGAGCAGCGGGGAGACAGGAGAGGTCTGCTGCGCCGTGTGGGTAGCTCCCTGGCCAGGGATTGAACTCGAGCCGCAGAGGCTGCCGATAGCTTCCCAGGGCTGATGCTTAATCCCTTGTGCTGTCAGGGAGGCCCCCATGTGGCTTTAAATGCCATCTTGAATTTTTTTTTGCTAGGACAAGGGGAAGAAAGAAGTCAGGTAAGGTTTTCCTGGGGAACAAGAGTACTTTCCCTCCAAGGAGAAGAGATAAGTGAGTTAATTGTTTTTTTAGAAAAGAACTTTATCAGGAGGAGCGAAGGCAGGAACATGACACTATCGCCCTAACACGCCTGCTGCAAACTCAACCGTTAAATTTTGGACTAGCCCTTGTTTACCCAAAAATTCTAGATTCTGATCTCAAAATTTGGGTTTTTCATGTTGGACTTTATGCTGTATTACAAATGCCTTCAAAGCTTACTAGCAAATCCAAAGTAACTTTACCAGTTTTTATCTGAAAATAGACTGTAGATTTTTACAACCAGGAAGGTGTGGGAAATAGAATTTTCTACCCATGGAACAGTCTAGAACAGTGTCTCAGGATGGCCAGAAGGAGAGTCCAGCTCCCCCACAGCTGGAGGCAGCAGAGACAGGCCGGTGATCCCAGCACCGGCGCCAAGGTCCAGGCAGCCGCTGGCTGACACCAGAGGCAGCCCCGCCCCCCCAGCAGCCAGCTGCAGTGGGTCCCCCACGTCAGCCCCCCACATTCCACCTGCAGCCTTGGCCGTGGCAGAAAGGTCTAGAGGAAGAGGTTCACACAGCTGAGGATGCCGTGACAAGCCAGGCTGGGCAGGGATTCTGAGGTCGCAGGCTTCCCCGTGGCTTCACTCATTACTTTTTCCCGATCACCCCGGCTGGCCCAGTAGATGCTGTGCCAAGTTGAAGGGATCCATCTTCTTCCTGTTCTGCCCCGCCCCGGGAGGCGGTTACGCCGCAAACAGTGGAAACGTGGTCTTTCCCTGCGGGGTCGAGGCAGTTCTCGGGGGTCAGGGTGAGGACGCGGAGCGCCACAGGTGGCAGCCTGGCACAGAGATGCCCCATTCAACACGGGCAGCCAGGGCAGTGGCCCAGGAGCCCGGGGCTTCTTAGCGCAAACCCCACGTGGGGGGTACAGAGGCCAGCACCTCCTTTCCAGGGTGTGGGAAACCAGGGCGGCCTCAAGGCAGGGTGAAGGTGCCTCTTCGGAGAGGTGCTGGACGCGGGCAGTGGTGCCGGTCACAGGAGTCCCGAGCTGAGGAACGAGGACAGCCTCTTCTGCGGGGCTGGGGGTGGAGGGCTGGGGGTGGGGGCTCGACAAGCAGGAGGATGGGGTGAAGCGGAAGCAGCAGGAACCGCAGGGACAAGAACTCCAGGCAGAAGCCCAGAGGCCCGCTCCCCGCCCCAGCCCAGGCTGGCCGGGCCCGCCTGGTCCCCAACCTGCCTGGGCCTCTGCTTCCTGGGGACACTGAGCTCAGAGATGGGGACACAGGTCCCTCTGTGTATGCTCGACACACCCGTCCCCTCCCCACAGCCGTAGCACAGGAACCCAGGCCTCAGCCCTGAGCCCCTGCTGCACCCCCGCCCAGCCCCCAAGCCCATGTCTCTAACTGCCACCTGCCCCTCTGGCCCTTCCCTGCCTTCCATTCCAGGGCTCAGAGAATCTTCTTTATGTGCCCAAGACCTCTGGGCTCGCCCACAGGGGCTGTGGATTAAAGATAAACCCATCCTCGGCAAGGCTCACCCCCCCCACCCCCACCCCCGGCCTCCAGCCCCACCCAGGCTCTGCACCCCCAGGCCCCTCCCTTTCTACCCTCCCTACCCGTCCTGCCTACAGCCCCACGCAGGGCCCCGGGTCCTGTTCCCACTGTCCTCCAGCCCAGCCACCCCCTTCCTCTGGGCAAGTCTCACTTGGAGGTAAGGACCCCTGGCGCCGGGCACTCTCCAGTAGGAGGGTGCTGCGGCGGCTGCCACCCTCCCCCGCAGGGCGGGGCGGAAGGATTGGGGGCGCCCAGGCCGGTGCGGGCCCTCCGCGGCCTGCCGTCTCACTCTGCTGCCACCCCTAGCTGCAGGCCCAGTGTCTCCTGGGCGCCATGGCCCCCCCACGGCTCTTCTGGATGTGGCTTCTGGTGGCAGGAGTGCAAGGTGAGTGAGCCTCGGGGCACACGGGGCTGACCCTCGGGCAGGAAATCCAGGCAACGACGACCTGCCCCGTATGGGGTGCGCGGATCAGCTGGTCCTCTCTCCTTGAAGTCCTGGCTGTCTCAAGTCAGGGTTCCGGGTGGTGGGGGCTTCCACCCCATGGGAACCAAAGGTTCCGTGCCCTTTGGAGGGGGTCCTGGAGTCCGGTCCTCACGCTCCCCACCAAGAGGCCCCGGAGGCCCTGCCTTGTCCAGGCCAACGCACAGGCCAGCTCCCCTCAAACTCCGTACGTCCCGTGACAGCCGCAGCTCCTGCCTGGCCCTCGCTGAGTCCCCAGGGGGAAAGTGCGGGGCCCAGACCCCACTTTCTTTGTGCCTGGGGTGTCCTGCTTGAGTTCCAGAGGCTCAGGGGCCTGCTGCACCCAGACGTCCTTCCACACCCCTCCCAGCAGTCCCCCCAGGTGGGGGTCACCATGGGTCTCCTCCCCCCCATTCCTCTCGTGGGGTCCTGCTTCCGCAGCTGCGAGTGCTCCAGCCCCCTCCTGCCCACCTCTGTCCAAGGAGAGGAGCCTCTGACCCCCGCGGGGACGGTGGGAGGGCTTTCAGCTGACGGCCCTGCCGTCACCCCCTGGGGAGAGCGTGGCCTCCTCCCACTGACCTCTGCTCTCCCGGGGCCCGCAGGCGCGCGGGACGGGGACCTGCGGCTGGCCGGCGGGAACGCCCCCAGCGAGGGCCGCGTGGAGATCTTCTACAGAGGCCAGTGGGGGACGGTGTGTGACGACCAGTGGGACCTGACGGACGCCGGCGTCGTCTGCAGGGCCCTGGGGTTCGACAACGCCACCCAGGCTCTGGGCGGAGCCGCCTTCGGGCCAGGTAGGCCTGGGGGCCCGGGGCCCCAGAAGCCAGGCTGCGCCTCCCGGGGTCAGCCCAGGAAGGCCCGTCACCTGGGCCCGCGGCTCCTCCGCCCCGAGCTGCAAACCTGGAGGAAGCCGGCCCCGCTGACGAGGTCGGCCTCTGGCCCTGCCGTCCAGAGCGCAGCCTGTGGGCCCCTCCGGCCCGGGGCCCGCCCCTGGAAGCATATTTCTTGAAACACCTTCCCCCCAATGAGAAGGGGAGTGGGGGGGGCAGAGCCACCTGCAGGAGGGGAGGGCCGGGCGGGCGCCGAGCTCCCCGCCCCCCGCGAGGCTCCTGCTCCTGAGCGCCCGCCCCCCCAGCCTCTGTCCCCGCGCTGTTCTCCAGGAAGCGGCCCTGTCATGCTGGATGAGGTGCAGTGCACGGGCGCGGAGCCGTCGCTGGCCAGCTGCCGCTCCCAGGGCTGGCTGAGGAGCGACTGCGGGCACCAGGAGGACGCCGGCGTGGTCTGCGCCGGGGGTGAGTGCTGGCCTGCCCGCCGTCCGCCCCAGCGCCGCCCGGTGGTCACGCCAGCACCCGTGCCAGCTGGCAGGTCGCACATCCCCCTGTCCTCCAGCCCCCCGCTGCCTGCCCGGCCAGGAGCCCCAGGACCTCACTGCCCCCCCCTGGAGCTGCTGCCCCAGAGCAGCCAGCCACATCCACGCGCCCTCTGCCCGCCTCGCCCCGGCACCCCCGGCCCAGCAGCCGGTGCCCGTGCGCCGTCCGCGCTGCTTGATGGCAGGAAGGCCGGCTGGCGGCCGCCCCGCCCTGCCCCGTGCACCCCCGGCCAAGCCCCGTCCCGCACCCCAGCTGCCGTCTCCTGGCCGGTCCCGGCACCCCGTGTTCTCTGGCTTTGCATCGCCTCCCTGAGCCAGTGGGGCATGGGGGGCCCGAGGCCTGGGGGCGCGCACGGGAAGTCAGGGTAGTCACACAAGGGGGGCCGCCGGGGGGCAGCGCTCATGCTGGGCTGGAGGACAGGAGACCCCCTGGACCGTGGGGGCAGGAAGCCCCGCTGGTGGGGAGCCCGTAGGGCGATGGTGGCCATGGGGGAAGGGCTATCGGGACCCTGAGAGTCTGGGGTCCAGGGAGCAATGGGGGTGCTGACCCCACCTGGTTTAATGTCAGCATCGACTCGGGCTTATGTGTGGCAAGGAAAGACGGGGTCGGGGTTAGTTTCAAGTCAGGGAGCGCACAAAGGAGGGGGCGAGCCAGCCTCCCCGGGGGGGATGCCCCCCATGGGCCTCAGTGCCCTGAAGGAGGCTGCAGAGCCCCCGAGCCCTTGCGTCAGCGCGGGAAGCCCCTTCCTCTCCGACGAGCACACCAGGGAGCTTGGGGTGTGCCAAGTATCGCCTGAGGGCCTGGCCCAGCGCGCGGGCAAGCGACTGGGATTTTGAGGGGATGGAGTCTGGAGGTCACTGTCTCCGGACCCCCACTGGAGCCCGACCGGGGTGGGAGCTGAGCTGACACCAGGAGGGTGTGTGAGCCGCGGGGGGCCCTGTCGCGGGGGCGGGCTCTGGGCTGCCCTGGCCGGGGCGGGACTGAGGCCTTAGTCACGGGGACGCAGCCACCCTAGGGCTGAAGGCCGCGAGCGGCGGGTCCCCCGCAGAGTCCTTGCGCCTGACAGGGCGGGTCCCTCTGCCCCTCCTCAGAAGCAAGAGAAAACGACACACACACCCTGGACCTGTCCGGAGAGCTCCCCGAGGCTCTCGGGCGCATCTTCGACAGCCAGAAGGACTGCGACCTGGCCATCAGGGTGAAGGTCAAGGGGGAGGCCGAGGCCCAGGACCTCTGCGCCCACAGGCTGATCCTGGCCGCCAACCCCGAGGCCTGGGACCTGGTGAAGGAGGCGGGCAGCAAGGTGACCCTGCAGGTGGAGGCCGAGTGCGTGCCCGTGGTCAGGGACTTTATCAGGTGAGCATCGTCAGGGAGCCAAAGGCAGACGTGCCTCTTTCCAGCCACGCGTGAGGACGCGCACCCCGTGACCGCCTGTGGGTGCCCTCCCTGTCCGGCCCCGCCGTTCTGCCTCCCTCTATCCTGTCTCGCTCCCTCCCATCTCTCTCGGCCTCTGTGGGGCGGCCGGACTCTGTGCCCTGCACCCCAGGAGCCCCAGGCAGGCTCCTCACAGGCTTTTAGCAGCAGGGCTGTCCCGGCGGCCCATGCCGAGGGGGACCAGCGCATCCTGGTGGGCTCACGGGGGCAGGAGACACAGACAAGGCCTGGTGGGGGCAGTGCCTGCGACCTGGGGCGCCTGGGACAGAGGGGCGGCCGCGGGCCCCAAAGGGCGCCCTGCAAGGCCAGGCTCAGCCCTGTTGGCGGGGCCGCCGGCGGCCGCGGGGACAGGGGTCGGGGTGTGTCACTCTAGGCGAATTTGAGTTTCAGGGCGTGGGTGTCGCAGAGATCGGTCAGGACCGACACCTCCTCAAATGGCCGCCTTGGGGTTGCGGGGCTCAGGCAGGCCCGCGTGGGATGGTGGCGCGGGGAGGCAGGCGGCGCAGCGGCTCAGACAGGCCCGTCTCTCCCGCCGCCAGGTACTTCTACTCCCGAAGGGTCGACATCACCCTGTCGTCGGTCAGGTGCTTCCACCAGCTGGCGTCCACCTACGGGGCCGAGCAGCTGCAGAGCTACTGCGGCCGCCTCTTTGCCATCCTCCTGCCCCAGGACCCCTCTTTCCAGATGTCCCTGGAGCTCTACGCCTATGCCCTGGCCAGCCGGGACCCGGTGCTCGAGGAGGTCTGCACGCAGTTCCTGGCCTGGAACTTCGGGGCCCTGACCCAGGCCGAGGCCTGGCCACACGTGCCCACCGCCCTGCTCCGAGCCCTGCTCTCCCGGAGTGAGCTAGCCGTGCCCAGCGAGCTGGCCGTGCTGCAGGCCCTGGACCAGTGGAGCCAGGAGAGCCAGGCCTCCCACAGGGAGGTGGCGGCGCTGCTGCGCAAGGTCCGCTTCCCCATGATGCTGCCCCAGGACCTCTTCCAGCTGCAGTTCAACATGTCCCTGTACCGGGCCCACGAGGCGCTCTTCCAGAAGCAGGTCCTGCAGGCCCTGGAGTTCCACACCGTGCCTGTGAGGCTGCTGGCCCAGCAAGGAGGCCTGAACCTCACGGAGGCCGCCTTCTGGCCCCGACTGTACACCTCGCCCACCTGGAGCGCCTCCGTCACGGGCGGCTCTAACCCTTACCAGCTGTCCCAGTACTCCCCCGTCTTTGCCCCATACTACAGAGGAGAGTCCAGGTCTTACTACCCCTCCCAGTACTTCCAGACCCCCCAGCACCCCAGCTTCCTCTTCCAGGACAAGCAGGTCTCCTGGTCTCTCCAGTACCTGCCCACCGTGCAGAGCTGCTGGAACTACGGGGTCTCGTGCTCCTCGGGCGAGCCCCCCGTCCTGGCCCTGTCCAAGTCCGGCTACTCAGACCCCACCATCGGCTACCAGAACAAGGCCCTGATGCTCTGCGGGGGCCGCTTCGTGGCCCACGTCACCGATTTCAAGGACCAGAAGGCGGTGATCCCGAGCCCCTCGGGCACCAACGGCTCCAGGAGCGAATCCTTCTTCCCCTGCTCCCCGGGGCCCTTCAGCAGCTTCCAGGTGGTCATCCGCCCCTTCTACCTGACCAACTCCTCCGATGCAGACTACAGCTAGCCTGGCAGGGGGCCCCACAACCACCCCCGACGCCAGCCATCAGATGTCCCTCCTGCTGCCGCTGGCCCCTCCGGGCTTAAAGAAGTTACTGGAAGTTTTCAACCAGTGCTGCTGAGACTTTCAGGTCTGCAGGCCTCTAGAGGGTTTTCGGGTGGGACCCGCGAGGCGGGGTGTGGTCGCCCCGGAGGCCACCCTCCACCTTCTCAGCCCCAGACCGTCCAGTCAGGGCATTAAAGTGCAGCTTCCTGATTCTCGCGTTCACGAGGGCTCATGGCCGAGCGCGCCAGGGATCCCTTGGGGTCGGGGCCTCAGTGGGAAGTGAGGAATGCGTAGGCAGGAGGACCCTCACGCACCCCGAATCTGCCCTCCATAAACCCTTGCACCCCGCACAGAGGCAGGGGACAGAGAGTGTCAGCCCCGTGGGTAAGAGGCAAACCCGGAAGCCTGAGTCCCCGCCCACAGGATGCCGCCGTGAGGTGGGCGTTTCGGGCAGAAGAAGGGCGTGGGAAGGGCCGTCAGGGTCGGGGCACCCAGGGGCAGGCAGAGGTGCGGGCCTGGGGCACCTCGTAGAAGGCGGGGCACTGGGGCCTCCCCCCCATGAGCAGGAGTTCCGAGCTGTCCCTGCTTCATGGCGACACTCCCCGGGCACAGGCCAGGGGGAGCATCTGGTTGGCCAAGCTTAGGCCTCGGGGTGCCGCTCTCACCCGGGTCTAGAGGGGTTCGGCCCCCGGTGGAGGCAGGTTCAGTCACTGGGCAGCCCAGAGAGCGGCCACCAGCACCCTCGCTCCCCCACCCTCCCCACCAGCCCGGCAAGAACCAAGAGCAGACACACGGCCCCCCTCCCTGCTGGTTCAACCCCTCCCCAGGGGCCTGGGCTGCTGGCCGGAGCAGGGGCTTCTTGAGCTCTCGTGTTACTCAGAGCGCGCCCCAGCACTGCCCGCACGAGGGGCACAGGCAGCGAGAAGCAGGCCAGACCCAGCAGCACAGCCACCCGCCCCCGCCGCCCCGTGCCTCTGCCCGCAGCCCATGCCTGGCCGTCAGGTAACCGGAGTCTCCCCTCCAGGGGGCTCTGTGGGTCCTGCCATGAGGGATCCACACACTTGTACCGGCTGGCAGAGAAGACCCTAGAGACTGGGGTTGCGTCCACCCCCTTAGCGCCCCACAGCCGGGCCTCTGGGGAGCAGCGCCCTCGGTGCAGAAGCTCTAAGCTGGCAGAAGTTGGGGCGAACTGTTCTCCCAGCCCAGGCCCCACGTCCCCCGTGAGCTCCGCTGTGCCAGGCTGGAGGGTGGCTCTGTGTGTTTGGGGCGGCCCGTGACGAAAGGGGTGGTTGGGAATGCAGCAGGAGGGGCAGGATTGGATCGGATGTTGCTGACGTCATCAGGCCCAGGTCTCTCTCCTGGCCTGAGTCATGTGACTTGGGCTCCTCCCATGGCGGCGACGCCCTGGGTCGCCCCACCTGGGACATCTGGAGCTGCCAGCGGGATCTCCTGGCTCAGAGGCCGGATGGCGGGCGTCGCGTCCTTGGGTAGAAGGTGACCACCAGCCGCCATCCCGGAGCCCTCGGCTGCCCAGGGCACCAGACCGTGCCAGGTGAGGGGTCAGGTGCAAATGGATCGCAGTGGCCTGTGGTGCGAGGCCCCTGGGGCCCGGGCTCGGCGCACACCAGCAGCCGCAGGTTAGGAGACTCCCTTTCCTCCCGGTCACAGCCAGGCCCAGTGGTCAGGCCCGGTGGTCAGGCCCAGTGGTCAGGCTGGAACTGAAGCCACAACCCCCTGCACAGACATGCTCAATGCCTCACCCGTGGGCCCCTGGCCACAGCCGCCACCTTGGCCCTCCCCCACTCCCACAAGCACGCAAGCCGTTCCCGCCTTGCTGTCCCAACACCAGGCCCCAGAAGCTGTCCACAGCAGCCCCTGGCCCTCTCAGCTCCGGCCACAGCAGGTTTCCTGCAGCAGGAAACAGACTCTGCTGCTCCGAGGAAGGGAGTCATTACAGGCGTGGAATATTACACGGCTGTTCAAAAGGACTCCGCGGGCCCCAGGTACTGACCTGAGGTGTCTCTCAGACACAATGTCCATGAGACACGCGGTCGAGCAGCAAACCTACTTGAACACCTCTGGGTCTCCACTTCCCTGCCCCTCCCCCCATGACTGAGGACGCAGGGAACCCCATCCTTTCTGCCACAGGTTTGGGGTGCCCCAATTGGGGGTGAGAAGCATGTGACAGGGTCAGTACTTGTGCTCAGGAGGGACTCACTGCTCACCCTTCCGCTTTGAGCGCATCCCTTGTGCAATGAAAGGGCTTTGAAAAGCAGTCTGCACTGCTCGGGACCCCCGACACAGACACACACACCCCAGGTCGGGGCCAGAGCCCCACACCAACATGCTCACGACTCCCTGACATGGCTGGAATTCACGGCGACTCCCTGGTCCCAGCCATGTGGCCCAGGCCCCGTGGGAGCTGGACGGAAAAGGTTCGATGTGGCAGCAGCTGATCCTCTGAAAGAATGTCTCTGGGGGGGCGCCAGGGGCCGGGGCCAAGCCTGGGGCTGTTGCAAAATATCAGGAAAGAATGCGGAGCCTCCTCCCGCTCCCGTGCCTCCGGGGCTGCTGGAAGCAAGGCCAGGCGGGTGGGCCCAGCCGTCCCGGGAGCAGCACGGAGGCCTCTGCCCACAGGGCCCGGGAGGCAGGCGGACGCCAGAGTGCCGCCCCCCAGGAGAGGGGAGGCGGGTGGACGGGCGCAGCCCCTGGGCGGGGAGAGGCAGTGGGCTCTGTCCTGAGGGAGGCCTCTGCAGCCAGTGGGGCAGAGGCCACATGAAGGAGGGTGGGCCTTGGGTGGGGTGTTGGGAAGGCGGGGTCAGCCCGTCCACGGGGTTGGACACCCAGGACTCTGCGCCCTCGCACGCCCCAAGACAGGGAGAGCTTGGGGCTGGGTCACCACTCCTTATCAGCCCCCGAGCCCCCAGAGATGACCAAAAGCTCCCTGGTGCCTGCGCCCCAGGTCTGGGCTGCCCTGCACCCCTCACGCCCAGGCCTGCACGCAGCCCCTTCCCCGGGAGGCGGGCAGCCAGGCGTGTGCGAGCTTCGCGGGGCCGGGGGCAGAAAACAACATGCGTTGGGTCTCACACTGCCCGAGACCAGACGCCTGAGGTCGGGCGGGGCTGCTCCCCCGGAGGCTCTGCGGCCCCTGCCCGCTCCGTCCAGCTCCAGGGTGGCCAGCGGTCCTTGGCTGGCCACACCCGCGCCTCGGCCCGTCTCCACGCGGCTGCCTCCGGTGTGTCCCTGTGTCGCTTCTCCCTGAGCTTCTCCTACGAGGACGCCAGGCCCTGAGCGCGGACACCCTGCACCCCCAGTGACCCTTGATCCCCACTGCAGAGACAGCTTTTCCCAGCAAACGCCTTGTTCATGGGTAGCTGCTGGGGGTGAGGGCTCAGGCACCCCTTGTGGGGGCCGTCCCCCCTCCAAACGCCGATCTCAGTCCTGGGGGCTCCCCAACGGCCCCCTCCTCAGGTTCATGAGACGCCAGGGTGGGCCGCAGGACGCAGGGGAGCAGCTCCCTGTCACCCGCTGACTCTCAGGACGTGCAGGCCCAGGGGGAGGCGCGCAGTTCCCCGCCTCCCCGCTGCACCCCCACGCGTCACCAACCCCCACCCTGAGGGGCTTCACGGCAGCTCCGTAACACAGGATGTTTGACAGACCCATCGGCCCCTGGGGACTGACCCCGCCCCAGCCCGCCCCTGCCCAGAGGTCAGAGGTCAGAGACGGGCCCAGCGGTCCCAGCTGCAAATCACAGGGTGGGGGCCCTGGGCCTAGAGCCCCCTCAATAACACGCCTCAGGTGTGGTGGAGGGGGTCCCCAGGAGCACCGAAATACGCTCCCCAGCCTGCAGGGAACCCCAAGGGTGTTATATAGTCTCGTGCCAGGAACCAGGGCAAAGGCCTGATGTACGACTTATGACATCACAAGGTCATACCCCCACGGCCCATTCTGACCGGGTCCCCTTGGTCCCCTTTCCACTGCAGGCGGGGGGGCTGGGGGTGGACAGAAGGGTGCCCAGGGTGGGGAGGTGCAGGCTGGTGTCTGCCCCGCAGAGGCAGGGAGGGCCGTGAGCAGCTGCTCCCCATTACCAGCCTCAGCCCTTCTTAAGGAGTCTGTGAGAGGCTTTTCCCTCCAGTCACTGCAGACCGCGGGGACGGGTGGCGGAGCAGCGTTGCCTTGGCAACGCAGACTTGGGGGTGGCGCTGGTGACCAGGGCTGCTTTTGCCTGTGCCATCTCCCGGGACGCTCCCTGTTCAGCGCTGGGGCCCCCTGCCCGCCTGCGGGGAGGCCCCTCCCTCCCACCCGCTCGCTCAGGCCAGCCCTGCGAAATCAATTCCAGCAGGAGGGCATTGTAAATGTGCCCATTTCAAAGCAGCAAATCCAAGCGGAGCCCCTGGCAGCCACCGTGGCACCTGCCACTCCCTCTGCAGCCGCCACCCCACCGGCGTGGGGACCCCTGGGCTCCAGGCAAAACGTGGCCCAGGAGTCGCAGCTCAGGCCTGACCTCCCTCGAGCTGTGTGACCCGGGAGGGGTCCCCGTCTTTGCACCGTGGTCAGGAAAGTCTGTCTCCAGGGCCGCGGCAGAAATAGAGGAGGGGGTGCCTGGAGCCGCCGGGGTGCAGGATGCCCTTAGTCTGCCCCACAGCGATACCGGGCTCGGCCTGCCATGTGGGGCAGGACCCGCACACAGACCCGCGGTCCTGGGGCTCTGGGGCTGAAGGCCGGGATCGGGTGTGGTGGAAGCCCTTCAGGCTCATCAACACGTGGCGGGGTGGGGAGGGAGCTCCCCGGCTCTCCTTGCCAGCTTCCACGCCCAGGCCCTCCCAGAGGCCCCTCCTAACACCCAAGCTATGAATTTTTCAACATGTGAATTTGGGGCCAAACGTCAGTCTAAGCAGGGTGTCTGCCTCCCCCAGGGGCACCGCCAGCCCTCGGGGTCTCACCCCGGGTTAGAGAAGCAGCATCTCCGGGGCCCAGACCGAAGCTTCTCCCCTACCCCCTTCCAATTATAGGCAGTGTTGCTCATTGGGCTTCAGACTTTGCAGTGATTGGGGTTCACAGAGGAAGAGAATAGGGGAGCTGGCCCCTCCTGGCGCTGAGCCCACCCTGCAGCCAGGCAGTCTTGGGGGGGCTGTTAGGGCACTAAAAAGCTCAGCTCTTCTAGGTGGGGTTCTCCTGGTCTTGGCACGGGGGTAGGGGGGGG